GGCCCCACCGCACAGCGTTTCGCACCAACCCAACGTACATGTGTGCAAAGTTTCAAAGTCTAACTACCAAAAACGGCGTGAAGTTTTCATGTTGGATGTTCTTGAATCCATTTCCTTGGACCAGCTTGTAAGTATCCACATGCGGCAGACACATGCACCCACGGCTCTATTATTGTGACACCCGTTGGCGCCAAGGTTCTCGTCATTGTGTCGCCAGTTTTTACGTCGGTCTCCGTGCTCGTCGCTGATTCTCCATCGCTTCCCCGTCCCCCCGTCCTGTGCGGTGTGCGTTCGTCTGTGCTCTTTCCTCGAACAACTCGATTCAGTCGTGCGTCGCGTGGGAGGCTCTGGAGCGCGCGAGGCGAGTTGACGGCGGGGGGCCATGCAACATGCCGGTCGTGCTGCGGCCCAGGCGGCTGGACTCCGTGTACTTGCAGAACAAGGTGCGGTACAATACGGCGGTCGGTGTTGTCGTTTTTGTTGATGTGCAGTTTGCTGTTCTCGTCGTTGTTGGGTGTTTCGTCATGCCGTCGTTCCGCTGCTGTTGTCACGATTGCTGTTGGTATCGACGTTGGTTATCAGCGCCGGGACGCGCAATAAGGTTGTGTGCTTTCTAGCCCGAGGTGTTCGCTGACAGGGGAGGGGGTGGGAGAACAACGAGGCATATTTGGGTACAGCGACAGCCAGGTTTTGCGTCAAGCACCTTTTCTGTACCTGTGCAATTACTCCCGCGATGAAGTTTGGCTGTTCTTCAAAGTGGCAATGGTACTGTCGGTATAGGTCCTCACCTGAGGTGTTGGCAGAAAGTGTGATTCTTACACAAGCAGGTCGAGGCCCTCACCTAACGACGCCTTTTGCGCACAGGACATGGATCAAACCCCGTCGATCGACCCAGCACTCTTTGCCCGTACAGAGCATCGGGCCTTTGCACCCTGGCGCGAGATGCTACTTGTCTTTTTTTGTCCCCCCAGGTACCCAGACCTTGGACACCACTTTAGCTCTCAGCCACTCCTAATATGCAAGGCATCGACGCACCCCCCCCCCCGCCCCTCGAAAGCATCTCTGCTGATGCCCTCGCCCCTTGTGTGGGTGTTTTCCTCTCTGCTGTTTCTGTGTCTGACCTCCAGGCAAGGTTCCTCGAGGAGTTTCTGAAGCAATATTTCTTCGAAGCCGGCAGCAAGGATGCGCTGCTCTCCTTCTTGGACCTGAAGAAGCCGGCCACCGCGGAGGTTTAATCTCTCAGGGGTCCGGGCCCACGACAGAAACTTGGGATACGAAAATAAACGTGGGATAGGCGAGGACGGTACACGGGGCCGGACGATCACATGCCAACCCGTGCCCCGGATAGAAAAAGGGAGCGAAATACACAAAGAGGAGGAGACACGGAGGAGAGAGAGATGGGGAGGAAAAATAAACGATTAAGTAGGTGTCCCCGATCCCCGTTGCGAATGCACACGCCTCCTTTTGCTGCCTCGAGAGAGAGCAAAGGTGCTTTGCTTTCGGCTGGCGGGCGCGTGGTGGTCGTGTGGCCGCGGCGTGCGCCTGCCTGGCCCGGGTGCGATGAATCTTTGCGGACACCCTGGGGCTCGGAGAGCAAGCTGTGCCGGGGACGGGTCGGCGTCTGCACGGGGGATAAAGAGGTAGGGAGTAGAGGAGTGAAAGGCATAGAATAGAGCCCGTTTTCCGTTTTCCCGCCCTCCCGTGCCGTCCCAGTGCCGTTCCCTCCTCTGGCGGCGAAGAGTCTCAATCGTCTTGAGACCCTGCAGTAGCTTTGTGTGGGTGGTTGACAGGCAGGAGGCGGAGATTGAGAGGGACTGGAGGACGGGAAGGACGGGAGACGTGCTGTTTTCAGAGGGGAGTGTACACGGGTATCAAGAAGAAGATGACGTCATGGTCGCCGTCGGTTCCAGGGCTCTGTACTCTCTCTCTCCGAGAGCAGTTTAATTGATGCCACTGGCATGTACACCGGTGAACGATTGCGGGAAGGGACAACGATGCAGCGGCATCGAGATCGGAGGTGGTCTACTTTCATGTTTCGGTTCCCAAGAAAATTTCATTTTTTAGGTACTGGTAGAACCGTACTTAAATGCAGTCATTTAAATCCAGATAGACAGGGCGCGTCATTCTTCGGAACGGAGCGGGGTGGGTCTTAGAAGAGCTTTCGGCACCCCTACCCCGCTCTCCACAGGCTTGTTGCCCACCCGCGCTCCCAGCGGGCTTGCGGGCTTTCTTTTTTTTCATGCCTTGCCATCGACCAGAACGGTCAACAGCAACTGTTTGGTTTTCCCTCGTGAGTATTGCGATTTCGTGTATTTTTTTTTTCTCGTGTTGCCCCCTCCCTTCTGAGCTCTTTTTTTTCCGTGTGCCGTCTTTAGGGGCGTTGTTTGTTTTGGCCTTCGGCACCCGCACGAAGCACAAGGCTCTGGGGGGGGATTGGGAACCCCCTAGGATATTGATGTAGGTTACTGTGTATATATTGAAAATGTATCGTAAAGGGCAGGCTTTTGTGGTTGAATTGTTTTTTAATTTTTTTATTGCTGGTGGCAGCGAGCACCTCGTGTCGGGCATGCGGCCTTTTCAGAACCGGGGGGTCGCACAAGTTTTTGCCGTGCACAGATTGTTTGTTCCACCCTCACCGAAAGCCGGGTTGTGGAGCTGTTTTTTTTTTTTCGCGAAGCAGAAGCAAGCCACGGGAGGTATGTGACGTACGCTTTGCCGATGGTTTTGGTCAACACTTTCTTCCTTTAGCAAGTGAATGGAGAAGTTGCCTTTGGCATGTCGGCGCATGCGATTTGTGTGGTTGGTTCGCTGAGGTTGCAGTATCTGGGAGCAGAAGTTAGAGGTGATGCTCCCCGCCCCCCCGCGCCATTTTCCGTCGCCTGCGTGCCCTGCTGGTGGTTTGCACTCCTCGTAACAGCAGCAAAAGCGGAACGTAGAGTAGTACGTGAGACTTGTGTAGAGCGAAAGTGCTTTGTTTTGCTCTTCCTCTTTGAGTGTTTTGTTTTTCATGTGTGAGACCCGAAGGTCGGATAGCTGTCCCTTGTTGGACATCGAAGTGATACGTGCCTTTAACAGATGTCTTGCATGTGCGGTACGCGATATGCGTCCGCGTTACCTTTCGAGTTTGGCGCCCGTGAGATAATCGTAGCATCCCTCGTTGGCGTCGACAACTCGCTTTGTCTTGTCGGTCATGCCCTTCCTGTTCTGTCAGCATGCATCGAAGTTTTTTTGGTTCCGGCGTAAAGAGTGCGGGCGAGGGGGCGAACTTGTCCGGTCCCTCCTCCCCGCTATGTCTCCCGGTGATTAGCGCGCGGTTGTCCTCCTTTAACAATGCCGCAAGTAAAAAAGAACATGGTAGTGTACGATGGCGGTGGTGCAAAACCAATATTGGTTCGTTATAGTGGTCTAATTCGCGGTGTCTTGTTGTGCGTGTTTTGTGGGTAGCTTTTTCCCTCCAGGTGTTACTAATATCGGGCTTTGAGCGGCTTTTCGAGTGTTGAGTGAGTGTTTCTGTCCAATGTACGACAGCCGTCGGCGCACAGCATAATCGGGACAACAGTGACTTGTGGTGCTGCCTGCACACACGCACACACGCGCGCGCGTTTGTGGCACGCGGTTGGTGATTCATATTGTGTTTTTTTCTGCCGATCATCCGTGTCTGCGGGAAGGGGGGGAGTCGGACGTCTGGTTCCAAGCAGCCCCATACAATGAGAAGGGTCGTATCCTCGCCGGCGTGGTAATGCCAAACGATTCTGACGGCGATGAACGAATGTAGAGATGGACGGGGTGATGACGCTCAAGAGAACGTGTTTTGCGTTTTGTGTGTGTGCGAGGTTGACATGTGTAGCCAACCGGCGGGTTGTTTCGGGGCTAACTGTCTTCGGTTTGGCATGTTCGCGGTTGTTTGGTTGACACTTTGCGCGGTTGCCGTTTGTCTGTGGTATGACGTCGGGCCTACATGGAATAGGTCAGGTTGGCACGCACTTGTCTCCTTCGGCATTCGACTGTGATGCTAGTAGTGAGTGCAAAAATTAGCGAGTCGTGCGTGTGTCGAGATAAACAACAGGTCATGATACTTTTGATAACTCTGGGGGGGTCTGATATTGGTACCTGTTCCTTCGTACGTTCTCTCCTTACTTTATTTTCTGGTATCTCTTGTATTTGATTGGCATCGACCACCCGCAGGGGCTGACCGGTGAAAAGGTGCTTGTTTCGTAAATGATATATTGATAGCCGTTGCCTGTCGTTCCGCCTTCTGGTCGCTGCTGGCATTATGTTGGCTGCCACGCATGGAAAAGGCTAGTACGTAACTGTAGTTTAGTTTTTATTTTCGTTCGTATGCGATCATTGGTACGCCTTTTGGCGGGAGGGGGGGGGGGGCTCCTTGAACACCGTACCTTATGAGGACGTCTCATCCTAGAACGTAGCCTATATCGTTGTTGTAGATCTTCAGTAGCGTGCGATTTCTATCGCAAGCGCTCCCATCACCTCGATGTTTGAATTTATGTATGTATCTTGAGTGCAGTTCATTGAAGGTAGAATGTTGTGACGCGAGTGTACTCTTCATCGTGTGGCCTGAATTTGTCGGGTTTAATGAAGTACTTGTCTTTTCCGTTTATTCTACCGCAGTGTTCACGTGTCGTTGGGACTGACGAGTATGTGCGTCAGTCACACAGGTGTTGTGTCGCAAGCTGCAAAAATGGATTTCATCCCATGTTATCATCTTATTTTTGTGATGTGATGTCTTGGCGAGAAAGAAGTGCCCGTCACGAACATGCCCGTCAAGGTTGTGTTTCACGGCTGTCCGGCTTCGCGAGGAGCGAGCCAGGGTAGCAAGAGTCGGAGTCTCCCAACCCCCCGCGACATCAAGAAAATCTCAGGGGAGAATTTATCAAGGACTTGCGGTTTTGGAGTTGCGGAAATGTTGCTGACAGAGTGTGGTAACGCCGTTCGGTGTGGTAACTCTGTTCGGGGCAGGAACGTGATCAATGGCAAAGCAGAGGCAGGCAAGCTTTCATGGGCCTACGTCCTCCCTCCCACCCACCTCGTACTTGCGGTGCTCGCGTCGCGGATAAGTGGGTGCCGAAGGGGAAAAAAGTAAAAAAGGCGCACGTATGTCTTTATCGTGTCATCATTCCAATATCCTCGTCACCTCGTTGTTCCTTATCGCCTTCCCTCCCCCCTCACCCCGCCGTTCAAATTGGCTGGTTGCACACAACAAGTTCACCACAAAGTATTGGCAGGGTTGCTGACGAAGAGGACGGCGGCCGGCGCTCCTACACCCCTCTCAAAATCCACATGCGCACAAGATCAACAGCATTCACAAGGGGAGAGCCAGGACGATGTACACACACCATTGTCACTCCGCCCGCCCACAGTACCACGAGACGTGTGATGCGCACTAGTATAGCAAGTCCGTAGTGCTGCGGCCATATACATAGTGCACGCACCAGCAGAACATGCAACAGCTGCAGAAAATAGTTGCGGCACCAGCAGCCCGAGTCGGCGAGCTGGTACAGAACAGGATCTATATACTATACTATATAGTATAGTCTACATGTACAGCGTTTCGTTCTCACAATATATTGCAAGCAAATACGCGTACGTGTAGCTCGCGCACACAACGAACATGGATGAAGGAAAGGTTACTATTGGGACGCCCAGGAAGAGCGATGGGAATGCAAACCCGCACGTCGTGGTGGAAACCTTTTTGGGTATCGGAGTCGAAACGCCCCAACATGCAAACTCAACCCGCGTGTCGATCCGAGGAAGTACAATCAATGTGCTTGAAAAAGTTCACTATGTATGTACGTACGTACGGAGGGATCTGTTCATGTTAGCGACCCCGCTTTGAGCTCATGGGCCCGCGATCTGTTCATGCTAGCTGTCCTTTGCTTGCAGTGCTCAGCACCAGTACATGTCGCTCGGAATAGAAACATCACTGGTTATCCTCACCCCAGAGAAAAGCAGTGATCACACAAGGAAGGGCTGAAAGAAGAAGAGCAGCCGAGGCACTCCTCTTCTTCCAGTTAGAGCCAGCATGTCAAAAGAGAGAATGTGTGCGACCTCTAATATCACCTCTTCCCTGCGAGCCCCAGCACATGCACTATGCTGCAGCTGAGCAAAACCAGCCCTGAACTGCTGCCCCTAGTTTTTTGTTCCACGAAAAGGCGGGAGGGAGCAGGCCTCTGCGCGAAGTGGAAGAAAAAATCGCACTCCGCTTTTTTTTTTTTTTAACCCTTTTGAGTCTTCAGGCGTTCTCACTGATCATTGATTGATCATTTGCAAATGCTGGTGTAGTGGCAAGTCGTGGAGTTGCCGCCCTGCAGCCCTTCGCGCCGTGTATTGGCAAGTCCATAGGTAGGTGTGTCTAGATTATTAGCACCCGCGCTAACCGGCTGACCAATGAAGAGACTTCAGTGACAGCGGGTTAAATCAAGGTCTCGGGAATGGGAATGGGGCCAATCAATGCCAAATCATGAATCTCTCAACGTATGCACATGTCAATGAACGCGTGTGTGCATACAGTACATACATACATACATATGTGTTCTTTCGCAGCACCACACATACACTCGCCCGAACGTAGGAAGAGCAGAGGACAGCAAAAGGGAGGGGTATTGCAGTCCATGCCGAAGCCCAGATATCGAGGATATCGTGGTTCCCAACAATTTGAATTTCGTTCCCAAGATCCAGCAGTCATTGTGTCAACAGCTACAACGAACGCTACAACAACACTACTACTACTGCTGTAGACGAGTAAAACATATCAGCAAAACATCCACACTCGTAGCGCCACACATACCACCCTCGCCCGAACCGAGGAAACCACGAGGTACAGGTGTGTGCTGGTGGATGTGCTTGTTGTTTGAAAAACACAGGAGCTCTAGAGAGTTGGCAGGGCACATTTCGGGGGGGGACAGAGAACAGAGAAGTACAGAAGTACAAATACCAGCTATGGGTCTTCACTGATCATTTTGCCCTCTCTGGACTGATCATTTACAATATACCGAAAATAGACTAGTTGAGGCAGCTAGACGACTGATCATTTCAAAGGCTACACAGCTAACCTGCCCTACTGACCGCAGCGCGACCACCCACCAACCCTTCCACGACCCTGTCTGTGGCCACCACCCTGTCGCCGGCTTCTCTCATGGCCTACAGGCGGAGATAGCTGTTGCGTGTGCTGAAGTACACTGGTGTCTTTCTCTGCACTTCTCTCTCTCCCGCTCGCTCTCGCTCTCATTTTTTTTTTTTTGAGCAAAAGAAAAAATCTGACAGTCCAGCCTAGACCCAAAGGGGTTAAGGGGTTCTCCTACGGCGTTTTCCGAGAGAACTTTCATACTTCACAGCACCCACCTCACCTCCATCGCGGCATCGGCAAACCTCTGGACGCTCGTTGTCAGCAACTCTATGTGGTAACACGCCCCCGCAAGGTGCATACCAATCGCTGCTGACAGTTTTATTGTGTTCGGCCAAATCTCGCCTCTCTCACACGGAGTGAGAACCACAACTTGACCACACACACAACGAAGAGGAGGGGCTCTCGCAATAATAATAATAAAGCACGCTGTGTTTGTTTGGTTGAGATCCCAGCATTTTAGAGGTGAGAAGAGGGGGAGAAAAAGTGAGTAGTCAGCAGAGAGAACACTATTATGCTTTCGTATATATTGTTGCCGCCCACTGGCAAGTGGCACCGGTTGCTGTTTCGATACCTTTTATACTACTGTTGTGTGTGGTGTTAGCTGCTGCACGCGCGGGCGGAGTGAAATAAATTTGATCCATGTTGTTGTATAAGTCCTGTGTGAACCATCTCGTGTGGGCGCTGGTTGCTGCTGCCGGAGCTAGAGGTGATTTCGCCCGCCGCCGCCTCTACCCCCGTTCTTTGCACCGTGGACAGCAAGAGAGAGACCTCCTCCTCATACTTGCTCGCCCCGACTCTCAGCCGGTCCTGCCAGCGCGGTGGCTTTGGCAGCGACACAGAAATACTAGGCAGGGGAAGACGGTAGCGGAGGAGGTTCGTTGCAAGAACAAAATGGTTGAAACTAGGGCCTCGACGCAAGAAGAGTCGGCCGTAGACTTGGTGGCGCAAATGGTGGAGGCAGCGGTGGAGAGAGCGAAGCGCAAAGCGATTTTCGAGCTCGATGCCAAGTTATCCACAAGGATGAAAATGTTAAGAGGAAAGCATGCTGGGGAACGCCGGTAAGATGGCAGCAGCTCGAGAACCCACGATACAGGAAAAGATCCCCGAGTGGAGAGCAGCCGAAAAAGGAAGCCGGTCTGGCTGGCTGGAGGGAAACCTCAAGCGGAGCAGAGGACAGTTGCTCGTAGAGGCGGAGGTAAGCCTCCCCAGACAAACCGTAGAGTCACACCGTCTCTATATTCACTCACATGCATACCCGCCGCACTCATCGTAAGGCTAGACATGGCGTGCAACAGCAGGTTCAACCTCGTTCGCGCAGATGGTGCATGTACCGACTGCTAATGCTGTAAACCACTGGACAGGTTACTTGCTCGCGGATTCGCTACCGGCCTGTTGTTGCTTCAGAGTTCCGGCGATATTGGTAACCACCTCGGTGGGATAGGAGCTGCGACATGTGCAGTACGAGCGCTATGCAGCCAACCCCCTTCCCCGCTCCACGGCGGATGCTCTCCCAACGGGGGGTGCTCTTGGGTACCTTTTTCATCACTGTTGCCATGGCGGCCCCACTTGTGTTGCAATGACATTTGTATTTTTGCCAGATGAATGAGAACGGTGGCGGACACGGCAGCTTGCCCCCTTTGCATTACCTGCAGCACGTGCTTAGACCACAAGTTGTGAAGACCATCAGCACCACGATGTAAGGGAATGTTCGCTCAGCTCCTCTTTTTCCGTAAATTTTGTCCAGGTGAGGGCTGCACTTCACCACTACTACACTACATGAGGTACCACGACGGAGAAAAATCCGGGGCGGCGATGGCGCAGGTCGCCGCCCTCCATTTTGCACCTCAGGCACAACTCTTGGTCGCTGCGTTGAGAGCGACGAGGCCAACGACGGCAAGATCGCCGTCAAGGATGGGACAGGGAGGGGCGGGACTGACAG